TCCTGCTCGATCATTCTAAATAACTCATCGAGAAGCCTTTTAGAACATCGGTATAACCCAACCTAATGAACGTTCTTTGCGCGTGACAGTTATATCTCGTTTACATATCTAGTCTGATCAAGCACTTGAAAAACTATACTACTTGTCCGACGTCTTGGTGTTTTTCAGAGGATATCTGGGTAAAACTCCCAAGATGACTCCATAGAAATCTTGATTGGGGTAAAATGATAACCTGAATACAAGTTAACTCAACCCAGGATATCATTCATAAAAAAAGAAACTCACACCGGTTTCTATTTGTAGTTTTCCGACAATACCCGTCGGACTAGCTCAAAAAATCATTGAGACATATCATGAAAATCCCTGGGAGGTCTAGGCACGGAAATAGCACGGACGAATACTCTGACTGGAAGAAGCGCTCACTTCTTGTTTTTTGTGTGCAACAAAATGTACTGATAACTGGGTCGAGAGGAGCCGACAATAACAAGATTTTTTTAAAAACTTTCTAGGATAGTTGAAATAAATACTATCAAGATCCGAAGTGGTGAATTGAAATTCCAGTCATTATGAGATAATTGTAGTGTTGCAATTTCGAGATTGAATGAATCCTAGAGATTAAATTTTTCTCAAGCCATCAATTGTGATTATTTTGCGTGTAAAGTATACGGAACGCTCAAGAACCTACCAACAGCTTCGAACGGAAACTTGTCCATGAAATTGCTGTTAAATTCTTCGATGATATTGTTCCACTCGAGGGACTTGTGTTTTCGGAGTAGATAATACACGTTCAGATCCGCATGGCCGTGCGCAATGACCTCGTTATCTTCAGTCAGCTCAAGTCTATACACCCACGTTGCCTCGAGAATATTCTCCCATTCGTGTATGTTAAGAAAAATGTACTTTATCTGGAAAAGAATGCATAAAACATTTCAGAAAAGGACCAATGGATGGCACAGTGGCTGCGGCACCCTAGCAGAGTCCATAATCGGTAAAACTGTCCACGCGAATTACGAACGCTCTGGCCCCGTTTATTTTACGCTGTTAGTCTAAATTGACAGTCATATTTATATTCTGTACTGTCAAACAAAGATGAAGATTGTTATGGAAGTTTCTAATCTTAATTAAATTAAATTAAAACATCAAACATTTTGCGATAATCCACCACAGTTCCTCCAAGCTACATGTGGCTAAAAACCGACTCTTTTACGATTAACTCAGAATGTACTCTAGGGCATGATATCAGCCTTGGTGTTTCCGCTGCACTCTCATTTAACCATAGAAAATTTATTTCACAGACACCTTGATTGGAAGAAGAAATAGGATGAATTTTCAGGTTGGCTTGCTTCATTTCCATCTGTGTGTTCATTT